AAAATGACAAAAGTATTTAAAACCATAAATGGTATTTTAGAGCCCCCCTCGCTTTCTAGCACAAAACATCCAAAGTGAAGGCCATCTCCCACACTTCCATTAATCTTCGCTTAGTGAAAACAATAAAACATTTATTTTTAACCGTATTTTATTATCAGTGACGTACATTAATAATACTGTCTGTTTAACTTAACATTTGTTGTTATGTGTGTGTGTGTACCGTCAATATGCTTTTAAATGCTGTATTAATCATTTTGTATGTCTCTGCTGACTGACTGGATGACTGGCTGGCTTAATGTCCCATTAAAACTTATTAACATAATTAAAATTATGTTGACGTTAAGATGACTTTGTTGCTCGCTTCCAATAACACGATAAACATTTGATACGATTTACGAACTTTTTTTAATGGGATTTCACAGATTCAGATTCCATGTTAAATATATATTTACACTTAACATGTCTGAACAAACATGCATCACGAAGAAGTGTTGAACAACGTGTTGTTTGATCTTCAGTGAGTCTGAAGGTCTCTGGGGTTTTTTTTGGTGGTTGGGGGCAAACATTGAGTTTAACTTAACATGCTTTAGCTTTTTATCGGTTCATAGTCAATCTGGTCTTATTAGGTCAAGAGTGTTTTTAAAAAATAATCTGTCAGGACTTTCAGCACAAGACGGGGATTTTTTAAAAATAATTTTTCTAGGATCTATTAAAGAAAAAAAATTATTTTTAGGGCCTAATCTAAATCTTGTATTTCTATACCTGCAGCCATATGGCTAGAGAGGGTATATTTAATTTGATACGGCCAAAACGTGCCACATCGAAATAACGGTTTTAGACCCTAGTTCTCTATGGATCAAATCCGTTTCAGGACATTTGGAGTCGATCTAGCGATGTCCATCCGTCCGTCTGTCTACCTGGCTGCTGCGCATGATAACCCTCAAAGGAAGTATCCGATGTGGCCCAAACTTGCTACATTGTAATATTATAATCAAACTTAAAACGAGTTCGTAGATGGACAATATCGGTCCACTCCTTCTGGTACCTCCCCCACAAAAGGTCGAAAATTTCAAAAAATATATTTTTTTTGCACAGAAAGAGAAAGGATAATCCGATTTGGCTCCAATTTTGCAAATCCTAATATTTGCATTAGTGCTTGGTCAGGTGCGAAAATAGACAATTTCGGTCAACTCCATCATGTAACTTTCCTACAAAGGGTCAACATTTTGAAAAATTATAACTCTTATAAAATGTGATGTAAGAGTCCGATTATCAATTTTCTGTCTTAGGCTGTAGTTCCCATTACGAACTTCAAATACTAAATTTGAAACAATTCCGGTGAATAATGTCGCTAAAATCACCAAAGTACTGCAAAAAAGGGAGGTGCCATTATATGGGGGATATACGAAGACGTGGACCTCATCAGACAATTTTCTGTCATAGCCTGTAGTACCCATTACGAACTTCAATTACCAAATTTGAAACAATTCCGGTGAATAATGTCACTAAAATCATCAAAATACCGAATAACGGGAGGTACCGTTAGATGGGAGCAATACGAAAACGTGGACCTGCATAGACAATTTTCTGTCTTAGGCTGTAGTATTCATTACGAACTTCAAATATCAAATTTTAAACATTTTCGGTGAATAATGTCACTAAAATCATCAAAATACCGAATATCGGGAGGTATCGTTATATGGGGGCTATATGAAGGCGTGAACTTGCATAGACAATTTTCTGTCTTAGGCTGTAGTACCCATTGCGAACTTCAATTACCAAATTTGAAACATTTCCGGTGAATAATGTCACTAAAATCATCAATATACCGAATATCGGGAGGTACCATTATATGGGAGCTACACGAAGACGTGGGCATGCACAGACAATTTTCTGTCATAGCATGTAGTACCCATTACGAACTTCAAATACCAAATTTGAAACAATTCCGGTGAATAATGTCGCTAAAATCATCAAAATACCGAATATAGGGAGGTACCGCTAGATGGGAGCAATACGAAGACATGGCCCTGCACAGACAATTTTCTGTCTTAGGCTGTAGCATCCATTAAGAACTTAAAATATCAAATTTGAAACATTTCCGGTGAATAATGTCGCTAAAATCATCAAAATACCGAATATCGGGAGGTACGTTAGATGGGAGCTATACCAAAACGTGGAGCTACATCAGCCATTTTCAATACCAAAAGTCCTACAGATATAATATACATTTGAGTAAAATTTTATCAACCCACTTCCTTTCGTTCGGAAGCTAGAGTGATTTCTACAGACGGATGGACGGACGGACATCGCTAAATCGACATAGAATTTTATGCTGATCAAGAAACGGAATGACAAACTTAATATACCCTGCATACTATGGTGCAGGGTATAAAAATAAAGTTTTCAAATCATTTTTCTGTGGTCTCCATTTAATTTTTTTTTTTTTTCAAATTAAGGCCATCTCAAAAAAAATGTGAAAAAATTTCCTTATTTTCTTCATTTTTTTTCCTGACACGACACCTAAGATATTGGTAACAAAATCCCCCACAACTTTTTTCGAAACTGTGTTCAACTAGGTGTGTAATTGGAACCAATTACGTTGACATCTATACCGAAATAGCATTACATTTTGAGCTAGTCATTTCAGTTGGCCTTTCTTTTATCATCATCTCATTGTCTAAACTTTCTTTGCCAAAGACGCGACAAGGAATCAAATAACAAACGAGGTTTTAATGATCATGATGTGATGTGAGTACACCTACCAGTACAGCACCACCATTGGCATTGGATGGTGATACACATCTCTTCCGAACATAGCAACAAACATTTTGAAAGCCTACAATTAGTGCATGAAAAAGGGGGGCTGCTAACATAACACTTCTTAACGTTAATTCTATTGTTTTTTTTTTTTTTTAAACCTCTAAGCGTACAGAGTCGGCAGGCGAGCAATAACCGTGAAATAAAATACAACAAAATAGCAATAAATTATTTTGTTGGATTTTTAAAAACACAAAAAAAAAACATTCAAACAAACAAACGTACTTATTGGCGTTTATACAATGCCCGAGAGTGAGGAAAAATAAAAAACAACAACAGCTACAGCTGCACCAAATGCTAAAGAAGAAGTAGGTATGGAAAAAAAAAACAAAAACGATAAGATTTTAAATTGTATTATTTACAAATAGTCTGTGCGCAAAGTCGATATAGTAATCGCATAATACGATTTATGTCATTTATAACTCAATTTGATTAGATTTTTCATTTATTTGAGATAAGGAAGAGGAACAAATTTTGTATCAGGAATTTTTTTATGAATTCGCCATGGAATTATAGAGAGTTGAGCTGCGAGGTGGATAAAAATAGATTTTAATAAAAATTGAAAAAAAAGGAAACATATCGAATTATATAATTTTGAAAAAAAAAATCGTAAATTTGTTGAAAGATTGAAAGAAGAAAAATATTTTATAAAGTATTCAATGATTCATTAGAGGAGAGTTTTTTTCAATGATTGCTAAAGAGTCTTAAAATTATCAAAAATTGTGGATATTTTAATTATTTTAGGAGGACCTAAAATACTGGAACCCTATCTCTGCAGGGTGAGATAAAAACAAGTTAGAAAACCTCCACCATTTGGAATGAATTTGGAAATTTTCACCTTGGCCACGCAAACAATTTGGCCGCAGACCTTGGACAATCCAACAGGACCAAGCATTATCGCACTCAGCACGCGCCACCCAAGAATGGTTACCAAATGGGGATCGTCGTTTCATTTCCAGCGCACAATGGCCAGCAAAATCACCGGATACCAATCCGTTGGACTATTGTGCCTGGAGTATTTCGGAAAGCAAGGTTGGCACTAAAACATACCAAAATGTCGATCGGATTATTACTTCTCATTTTGTGCAGAAAATAAATTTTTTGAAAATGTCGACCTTTTGTGGAGGTACCAAAAGGAATGGACCGATATTGCCCATCTCCGAACTCGATCTAAGTTTGACAATAATATTACGATGTACCAAATTTGTATCAAATTGAATACTCCCTTCGACAGTTATGGTGTGCACCAGCCAGACAGACAGACAGACGGACGGACATCGCTAGATCGACTCCAAATATTCTGAAATGGAATTGGTCCATTGAGACCTAGGGTCTAAAACCGTTATTTCGATGAGGCACGTTTTGTACGTATCAAATGATATATACCCTCTCTAGCCATATGGCTGAGGGTATAATAAAATAATATTAATATATTTTTGATAAAATAATATTAATATTTTTGAATTTCTTAAGAATCATGCCAACCGTACCTTCCCAGTGACAAATATATAACTTTTTTGTAAAGAATATCTTTCCAAAGACAATCTGAGCCTCGTTAGATAGAAGACTTTTTTGAATATTGAAAATTTTCAAGATTGTCTTATTAGACAAAATCTATTTCGCATTGCACTTCATCCACAAAATTATTAATTAATTTATTAATTTACAGTAATAACATTTCATTGTTGTTGCTTTTTGTCTCATAAACAAACTGTAAACAAACAGGTCATTGACAATTGAAGATTTCACAAAACAAACTTGACGAGATTCGCCGATTAATTCTTTAGAAAATATATATATCAAGTGATTTTGTTCAGCTTGTCTTCAATACGGATGACCCAATTAAATTGTTAACCATATTTGCTACAAAATACCTATAGGAAAAATAATATTCACCAAATAGGTATGTTTCTTTTTCCTTTTTAAGCAAACACTAATACTGGGTCATTAAGGCGAAACAAAAGAAAAAGTAGCTGCTATGGTTTTCGCACCTACACATGTCGATGGCGATGACAAGTGGTTCTCATTTGTCTTTGCGTACACAATTATTAGTGAACTACGAATTAATAAAGGTTCAAACATACACACGGGCATATGTATACATTTGCCTACTCATGTTAATCACGTCGTCGTCGTCGACATCGTCTTCGTCGTTGTTGCAATCTTAATAACCTCCTTACCTGTTATCCATGTTACATTAGAGGAACGTATTGCACCCGAAGCTGATAATGCCTCAGTAAGACTCCATGGTTTTTTCGTATTTTGGCGGCCATGCACAGGAATACCGCCAACCGGCACAAGATGATAACAGCAAATAATTGCACAAAATGCCACCAGCACTTTTGGAAAATGCATGGTTTGCCGTTGTTGTTGTTCTTTTAATGTAATTGTCTAATTGGGTGCCAAATTCTAAGATTGTTTAATCACTACAATTATTTATTTCAACGAAACGGGAATAAATTACACCGACCGGCTTTTTAAAACCACAAAAAAACACGCACATAAATACGATATTCAAATCGTAAGCCGACGACAACAACAACAGACAAAGCGCGACAAAGTGTGATGCGCACAATGAAACAATGACAATTGAACTGGTGGATGGAATAGCGGCAAACTGCTGGCAAATGATTGTGTAGGGTTCACTAGGTGCGTTTGACGACTTTCCGTTATCTCTCCAATTGGAAGTGTATCATAGACAGACATAGCATAGACAAATGAAGTTATAGACAACGAAAAGTTAGTTTTGTCTTTTTATCCAGGTGGCTCTCATCATCTTTTGCATAGTCAACATGCTGATTTACGCGTTCAAGCCACTCGACTTCGAAAAAACATTTTATCGTTTTTCAAGAATTTCACTGGAATATTCCCATATTTTTCGATGTCATCACGTACTTTTCACATTTCTTTTATTATGAAATAATTTTCAGCTGACAAATATCCTACAGTTTTTGTTATTTTTAACATTTTTGAATTGAATTCAAAATTCCCACTCAAACCCCTGAAACGATATGCACGACATCTGCTGATCCGATTTTTTTCGAAGATAAACGGTGAGAGCATTTCGTTGTCTATATTTTCATTTGTCTATGGCATAGACAAATTAAGGTATAGACTAAAAAGTTTTTAAATTTACCCCTTCTGGCAGATGTCACTATTGTTGATCTTGGGCCAGTCAAGTCACTCAGGGCTAGTGAAGTCACTCGACTTCGAAAACAATTTATTCATTTTTCTGCTATTTAAGTTCTATATTTTTATATTTCACGTCATATTTGGATAATGTAAAAATAAACAAAGTCACTGTTTCGTTTTTAATTGATAAATAATAAAGAATCATAAAAATATTCAATATTTTGTATTTTGAGAGAATTGAGTGAATAGACTTTTGCTCTCTCACAGCATGAACGACATCTATTGAAGCACTTTTTTCGAAGATAACAGATGAGACAACTTTTTAGTCTATACTTTAATTTGTCTATGTCTATGGTCTATATCTTCATTTGTCTATGTCTCCACTGTTCTCTTTGCAAAAACAAGAATACAAATGTCAGCCTGTTGTTACAGTGCACCCTGTTGCAAAAAAAAAACGCGCCAAACCTTGTCAAATAAGGTGTAAATGATTTTAACGAATTGAATGTATTGAATAATTCATCCAGCGATGATTTATCCACCAAATGGAAGAAAATTACTCACTACTGTATTTGAATGTGATTATAATTACACAGGGTAACATGCTTTCGATTTACATCAACTCTTAAAAATCCTTGGCTTAAACTTTGTAAACAGAATTTTAAATATAAGTGCAAACAATTTTATCATGTTTCAAATACGAACAATTTAAACAATGGATGACTTTCGCATAAAACAATTTAAATATACTGGGCAATATAACATGGGAAAGAGAGAGTATTGCTATGGCGATTGCATGCCCAGATTGTCCAAGAGTTTCAGGAAACTTTTTAATTTGGAGGTCCTTGGAAAAGCGTTGTCACAAAAAAAATCCAATATTTGTGACAGGACAAGCCCCCGATGCTTATATAACTGGCGATGTATGCTAAAATATATTTGATTTGGTCATATATTACAATAAAGGGAAATCGGGTGAAATTTGCTTCCAAAAATACATCGATAGACTCACAAACACGTATATGTCACACACTGGTCCAAATCTGGACCGATCTTGATCAAATTTGACAGAGGTATTGGGCTGAGCTCTATCTGATATCTGGTACCAAATATCATTGTTGTCGAATGCATATTACGAATGTGGTGGACTTAAACACCCAATTGGATGAAACATATATATGAGAGCTATAGCTATATCTGAACCGATTTTTACCAAATTTCATCTACTTGCTTCTAGACTGAATTCGGTTGGATGTGCCAAAACTCTGGTCATTTGGAATTATGTTGGCCATTGGGAACACAATTAACCCGAAATCGGTTGAAGATATATGGGAGGTATATCTAAATCTGATCCGATTATCACCAATTTCAATAGGGTTCGTCCTTGGGCCAAACAAAAATTGTTTTCAAAATTTTAACTCAATCGGATAATAAATGCAACTTGCATTCTGTTCACAAAGAATACATGGACAGACGGACGGCCTGGCATGCATAAATCGACTCAGAAAATTATCCTCAAAAGTAAATATGGGTCTATCTCGCTTCCTTCTCCATGTTACAAACAAATGCACAAAGACATAATACCCTTACCACTATTACCAGAACCGCAAGTATGCAAAAGTAACAAATTTTTCCTTTATCCTATCGAAAAAACCAGCTTAGTAGTATCTTGCAGGTTCTGGAACAAAGCAAATTTGTTCGAAAGATTCCTGGTACTGGGCAGGGTCGATTTTGTCCCCACATATCCAGACTATTGCATGCTGTGATGAGAAGATGATTAAAAAAACAGAAACGATCTAGAAATCTGTTGTCCTAAAACTAATTAAAAATACCGCGCATTCCCCTCTTTGGGGTCTTCTTAAAAATCATTGAAAATCTAAGTTTGACGGCATTTTATTGACCTTTGTCAATATTCCTCAAGATCATTGAAAACATTTAAATTATTTTTTTTTTTTATTTGGGTCTCATTAAAATCGCTCAATTAAAAAAAGACAGATTTATTAGCATTAGAGTCCTCCTAAAAAATTAGTTCATTGGTCATTTGGTAACTTTTTTGTGTTGATTAAAAAAAATGTAGTAGTATTGACTTTTTTGTATCTGATTTAGTATGTTTTATTTTTTTCGGGTACTCTAAAAAACCTTTGACAACCCCTACTTTCATTGGTTCTTGTGTCCGTAATAAACCCAATGGAAAAAATTAATTTTATAATTATTTAATTGTTATTTAATATTGGGTACTCCTGACAATCATCAAAAAATACATGTGAGTCGCAATCAATACTGAAAAAAAATTCTTCTTTATTCTTTCAAATCGTCTCATAATTAGTAATTAATTTTTTGTCCATAAATATTTACTAAGTAATATTGATTTTATTAATTTTATAAAACAGTAAAACAAAATTCGTATTTGATTACATTAATAAAAAAAGAAGACAATGTACACCAAATGCAACACAAATAAAGTATTAAAAGAAAACACAAATTATTGCCAAATAAAAATTATTAATTTTAAATGTCATTGAAATCCAAAATCAAGACTGCTATTTGAATCATTTGTCCTTGAATGTTTTCTTAAGATATGCACATTTTCTTTTACCTTAACATAACCTGAATACGAGATGAAATCAATTGAAAATAAGTTTAAGCGTGAAATTTTATGAATTACTATCGCATTTGTTATTTGTTGCCTTTGACCTATGCTTGGCCAATTCAGCATAGGCCATTCCCATTATTTTGCCTTGTAAGTTTTCCGAAATGTGTAGCGGCAGTTTGTTCAATATGGAATCTAAATGATTTAAAAAGTGTGAATTTGCATTAAAGTGTGGTTTGGGATCGTCCTCTGCTCTTATTTGGTTATTGGATTTCTAAAATATGAAAAGTGTAAAATAAATAAATAAAAATTAGTTGGATGTCGAAAACTTACATCAAAATGATATTCTTCTCTTGTATGATTATAAGATTTCTAAAAGAGAAATTATATTTAAAAATAAATGCAATTTTAATAATACAATTAGTCAAACCCTTACATCGGAATGTGTCAAGAGTTTATTGGTCAAGATCTTTGTGGTTGATCCCCCAAGGTTATGTAATTCTGCATCCTCCATTAGTTCTCTGAAATAAAAAAAATCAATAAATATTTAATTTTGAAGAAATGTAATTATGACAGCAATCTCAAGGGACCTATCAATTTCAGACAGAAAACAAGGCACGTATAAACAATTAACTGCAAACACTGTCTCAATGGCATATCTCTAGCAAGTCTATATACCTTGGCCAGAGATTTCTACGTAGTGACCAATTAGTCTAAAAAAAAGTGAGTCAATAGAAAGTATGGGAGTTAAAGGATTTACCTTTCTTTCCGTGAAATTTTGTCGAATAAAATATGGATTTCGAAATCATAACAAGTAAAAGACCCAGCTATGCTCGGCCGGGCAGAACTTTTTATACAGAAGGAACTTGAAAATTTTCAAAAAAATCGCCAAATAATACCGCTCAAATGAAAACCTTTATATGGAAGCTATACAAAGACGATTGTAGTATCCATTACGAACTTCAAATACCAAATTTGAAACAATTCCAGTGAATAATGTCGTTAAAATCATCAAAATACCGAAAATAGGGAGCTGCAGTTATATGGGGGCTATACGAAGAAGTGGACCTGCACAGACAATTTTCTGTCCTAGGCTTTAGTATCCGTTACGAACTTCAAATACCAAATTTGAAACATTTCCGGTGAATAATGTCGCTTACATCACCAAAATACCGAAAATAGGGAGCTGCAGTTATATGGGGGCTATACGAAGACGTGGATCTGCATTGACAATTTTCTGTCCTAGGCCGTGATATCCATTACCAACTTCAAATACTAAATTGGAAATAATTCCGGTGAATAATGTCGCTAAAATCATCAAAATACCGAATATCGAGAGGTGCCGTTATACGGAGGCTATACGATGGCGTGGACCTGCACAGACAATTTTCTGTGTTAGGCTGTAGTATCCATTACGAACTTTAAATACCAAATTTGAAACAATTCCGATAAATAATGTCACTAAAATCATCAAAATACCGAATAAAGAGAGATACCATTGTATGGGGGCTATACGAAGAAGTGAACCTGCACATATAATTTTCTGTCATAGGCTGTAATATCCATTACGAACTCTAAATACCAAATTTGAAACAATTCCGATGAATAATGTCGCTAAAATTATCAAAGTACCTAATATCGGGATGTGCCGTTATATGGAGGATATACAATGGCGTGGACCTACACGGACAATTTTCTGTCATAGGCTGCACTATCCATTACGAACTTCAAATACCAAATTTGAAACATTTCCGGTAAATAATGTCGCTTAAATCACCAAAATACCGAATATCGGAAGGTGCTGTTATATGGGGGCTTACCAAAACGTGGACCTACATGGTATATTTTCAATACCAAAAAATCCTGCAGACATAATATATACATGAGTAAAATTTTATCAATCTACCTCATTTCGTTTGGAAGCTAGAGTGATTTCCATAGACGGACGGACGGAAGGACATCGCTAAATCGACATAGAATGTTATGCTGATCAAGAATATATATACTTTGTGGGGGTCTAAAATGTATATTTCGAGGGTGTTACAAACGAAATGACAAACTTTATACACCCTCCATACTTTGGTGGAGGGTATAAAAAATAAAATCAATGGCCTACAGGGTGGGTTTTCCTTCGACCTTTCTTGTTTTCCATTTGTGTGTTCTTTTATTGAAAAATTTAGAAAAAAATTGCTTTTCCATACCCTTTCTGTGACGTTTCCGTAACGTTGGAAATGATTGGAGTGTCATCGTCTAGATTTTCTTGTTTAAATTCCATAACATCCACAACATCGTGGGTGGGCGGCGTTTCATCTTGGCTGCTTTCAACTTTGTCAAAGAAACCAGAACTTTGCTAAAAGGCATTTGAAACAAAAATAAAAAAAAATCCATCATAAAATAAATATTGGGTTCAAATTTACTCACTTGGGAAAACGGCGACCCACCATCATGGCTAGCTTCAACTCTTTTAAGATAGTTATTAGTTTGCTAAAATAAATGGAGACAATAAAAAGCATAATATATTCATATTGTGATACTGTGAGCTTCTAATTGACTTACATATATAGGCGGCGTTCCATCCCGGCTACTTGCAGTTATTTTGAAGGAGTTATTACTTTGCTAAAAAAATATGGAATAATCATCAAATATTTATAGAAAGTGTTTACTACAAATGTTACTTACATATATGGACGATGTTGCATCCTGACTACTTGCAGCTCTTTTAAAGGTGTGATTACTTTGCTAAAAATATGGAGTAATCAACAAATTTTACATAGAATGCTCTAAAGACAACTTAACTTACATATGTCGATGGTGTTGCATCCAGACTACTGGCACCTCTTTTAATTGAGTTATTATTTGGCTAAATGAAATAGAACCGGAAATAAAAATTAAATTATATTTCTAACCATAAAATGTCTTAATTTTGATTTTTTTTCTTACATATATAGATTGCATCCGAAGGTGTCCACTTTCAAGTCCATTAAAAGTGCTAATACTTTGCTGAAATTCAAAACGGAACAAATAATCGACACATAGAAATTGTTTAAATACATACATATATAGAGGGCGTTCCATGCTGGCTATTTTCAACTCCTTTAAATGAGCTATTGCCTTGCTGAAATGGAAGGAAAAAAATACAAAATATTTTATGGTATAAAACATATTTTTTACATCTTAGCTTACATAAATAGAGGGTATCCCATCTTGACTACTTTCTGCTTTTCTCAAATAGCTGTTGCTTTGCTATAATAGAGGGTCATAAAAATCAACATATACTCCATTATATTAAATATATAAACTACAAAATAACTTACATGGGAAGACGGCACACTTTCTTGGCTACTTTCAGCTCTTTTAAAGGAGCTATTACTTTGCTGAAAAGAGAAGCAAAAAATCAACAACCTGGAACATATTTACTAAAAATGGAAACTTACATATGATGACACATCTTCCATTGCCGCCGATAGATTGTCTTCAAGTAATAGTTTGTTATCATCATTGTAATCGCTGGAACTACAATTTTTGAAACGTAATTTACGTCTGACTGTAAGCAAAACTAAACTACAAATACTTACCCAGACGGATCTATCATAAAATCCATATCATCATTATATTTCGTTTTTGGACTGGTACAATCATCAGTGGAATAACCTTGTTCCGTTGTACCATTTTCAACTTTACGACCATATTTCCTTTTCAAATAGCGATGACTATCGCAAATGCTTTTCCAACCAAGTCGGCATACTTCCTCTGGAGAGAAAATAAACAGGGTTAGGGAAAGACAATTAAATTTTGTAAATAAGGATTCCGTAAAGCTCTCAAAAAGGACCCACATATACAGGGTGAGATACAAAAAACTGCAACAAAGTCAAAAGCCATAATTTTTACATATTTATACCCTACACCACAAGGTGGTCAGGGGATAATGTCTTTGTGCATTTGTTTGTAACAGGCAAAAGGAAACGAGATAGGCCGCTAGTTCCTTTTGATAATCTGCATAGAATCACATTCTGAGTCGATTTATACATGTCCGTCCGTCTGTCCATATATTTTTGTGAACAAACTACAGTTCGCATTTATTACCCGATCCAGATGAAATTTTGCACAAATCATTTGTTTGGCCCAAGGACAAACCCTATTGAAATTGGAGATAATCGGTAAAAATTTAGATATAGCTCCCATATATATCTTCGTCCGATTTGCCTTTTATTGTGCACCAAACGTGTAATATCAGCCAGAATAGTATGGAATTTTGCACATACAACCAACTTAGGCCTGAAAATAAGTATGCCAAATTTGATCGAAATCGGTTCAGATATAGCTATAGCTCCAATATATATTGTTCATCCGATTTGTTATTTTAGTCCCCCGCTGCCGAAATATGCACTCTGTAACAACAATATTTGGGGAAATATATGAAATACAGATCAGAAATACCTTTGCTAAATTGTATCGAGATCGGTTCGGATTTAGATATATCTCCCATATAAAACCTCGTCCGATTTACCTTTTATTGTGCACCAAACGTCTAATATTTGCCCAATGGGGCGACCGAATTGAGTGTAGGAGCTTATATGCCAAATTTGGTGAATATCAGTTCAGATATAGCTATAGCTCCCATATATATTGTTCATCCGATTTGTTACCCACAGCCGTAATATGCACTCCGTAACAACGATATTCAGGGAAATATATGAAATGCAGCTCAGAAATATCTTTGCCAAGTTTTATTAAAATCGGTTCAGATTTAGATATAGCTCCCATATATATCAAATGGACAATCCAAGTCCGAATTTAAAAGAAAGGTCTGCGGCAAAATTGTTTGCGTGCCCAAGGCTTTAATACACCCTCCAGAATATTTTCGCGATAATATTCGGCATATATTCTGATGCCACGATCGATTAATACGAGTGGAGAGCGACCATCGGCTGTTATGACGGCCCACACCATCACCATGGCTGGCGCTTGAGATCTGGTGGCCAGCCGAAGGTGCACATTTTCAACTGACCTCTTTGGCAAGTAAACATGATCATTTTGTTTGTTTACAAACTGCTGGACAATGAATGTTTTCTCATCGGAGACGGAGAAAACCAAATTCGGCAGTTCACCACTTTCGTCCAAGCGAAGCAACTCTTTAGCTCTTTTGAGTCTATTTTCTTTCTGTTACGGTGTAAGTTCTTGCACTTTTTGGAATTTCAATGGCTTTACCCTGAACTCATTTTTTAATATTTTCCGAATGGAATATTGAGATATGTTCATCTCATGAGCCATTTTTCGGCCACTTCGACGCTGGTTTCGATCAAGTCGCTTCTTAACTTTTCGAACCATTTCTGATGATGTTGCTGTTATCTTCCGTCCACTTCCTTGACGTCGGGATACGCTACCAGTATCACGGTAACGAGCGATGGTACGAGACACAAAAGACTTATTCACACTTTTTTTCCAACCAAATATAAAGAAATTATACTACCACGCTTGAATTCCATCACGAATAACTTTTTTTTCTGAAAAATGCTAACCAAAATGCTTTTGTACGCTTGTAAACGATATGATGAGCTGTCACTGGAATAATTTTAACAGCTGCCAGACGAGTGGCTTAGAAATTACAGCAGTCTGAAGTTTGTTGCAGTTTTTTCATCTCACCCTGTAGGTATCAAACGTTATATGCAGTTTTCTATAAGGAACATTTCAACTAATAAACCATGGTATAACTATAGCAAAATCCCTATTTTAGGCCTTAACAGGTTGAAAACTTTTACCCATTCAAATTTAAACGTTCTACATTACATTCCCCAAAAAAAAACAAACACATTTAATTCCTTGCAGGATAAATCTATATCACTTACAGAAATTCTTCTATCTATAGATATTTGTAAAAACTCTTTCTTTAAGGTTTATAGGGTATATTGTGTATGGAAGACATAAGGAAGATATTTTACTTATATATGAAAGATGTCCTTCCCTCCCCAAAACGCCTACAGATGTCCTTTTACATGTAAATGTTCTCTTTAAGGACTTATGTTCACGAAAACCTATAGAAGGCTGTGTACGTATTTACTACTTTGCCAAACAAGCACTTGTAAGTGTGTTTGTACACATACACACATTTCAACGATTTAGACGCAACATCTTCACAACAGACAATCTTGGCTTAACTGGGAATTTATTTGCAATCCCAAAAAGGAACTCCCCCAAAAGTTCATCCAACACTTACTTACCATTTTCATTCATTTCTTTGGCAACATTTTGCCAAGCCAACTTTAAATCGTTTCGAAATCTATTTGGATGTTTTTTATTCCAAATTATTGGATATTTCCTAATAATATCAACGAAACGTCTCTTCTCATAGTCATTTAAACGATTCTTTTTCATACACAATTCCATATTGGGCGTTGGGAAATAAATAAATTGTCTATTTTATATTTGTTGTTATATTCTCCAATATATGTTTTTTCCAATGAAAAGTATCAGTTTTGAGTTTTGTATAAATAATTTTCACGTAAACAAAAGATTGTTGTGAAAATTTGACGTTTAACACCAAGCTGTGAAATTTATGAAAGAACAGGGTTGCCATGTCATTTAGAGAAAAAAAGTAGTTTATGAAGAATATTTATGAAATTATTCCACGACTTCCAGGGATTGAATTTTAGTATGCCTTGGAAAGCTTAATGTTTTTATTTATTTTTTAAGAATTTAAAAATATATAATAATTAATAATAAATCTACCAAACAATAATTTTCTTCATTTACGAACGTTTTTCTTTTAATTCACGAAAATATTTTTTTTTATCTACGAATAAGGTTTAAATGAAGCAAAAAAAATTTAAAAAATTACGGAAATAATTTAATAGTCATTGATCACATTTTTTCTAATTGACTCATTGAAAAAACAATTTTTGAAAAAAAATGTTTTAAAAAATCACGGAAATAATTTGATAGTCATTGGACACATTTTTTCTATTTGACTCGTTGAAAAAAACAATTTCTGAAAAAATCGTTATTTAATTTTAGTCTTTTTTAAATTCGTGATTAAAATTCAAGTAATATATGAAAAAATAATATTTTTAATTCATTAATAATTCATGATTTTAAGAAATATTTTTTGGGAGTAAATAAAAAAAAAAACAAAAATCAGAACTTTTAATTTTGCAATTATTATTTTATTATTATTTGTATACCCTCCGCCATAGTATGGAGGGTATATTAAGTTTGTCATTCCGTTTGTAACACCTCGAAATATACATTTTAGACCCCACAAAGTATATATATTCTTGATCAGCATAAAATTCTATGTCGATTTAGCAATGTCCGTTCGTATGTGGAAATCACTCTAGCTTCCGAACTAAATGAAGTAGGTTGATAAAATTTTACTGAAATGTATATAATGTCTGCAGGACTTGAAAATGGGTCATGTAGGTCTACGTCTTCGTATAGCCCCCATATAACGGCATCTCCCGATATTCGGTATTCGCCGGAATTGTTTCAAATTTGATATTTGAAGTTCGCAATGGATACTACAGCCTATGACAGAAAATCGTCCGTGCAGGTTCACGTCTTCGCATTGCCCTTATATAACGCCACCTCTCGATATTCGGTATTTTGATGATTTTAGCGACATTATTCAGCGGAATTGTTTCAAATTTGGTATTTGAAGTTCGTAATGGATACTGCAGTCTGTGACAGAAAATTATCTGTGCAGATCTTTCTACAACACCCATACGATGGTACCTCCTTTTATTCGGTATTTTGATGATATTAGCGACATTAGTCAACAGAACTGTTTCAAATTTCAGCAAAAATATTTTAAAAACCAAAATTTGTTAGTAGTCCTTTAAAATATACCTTACAAATGCAATTATTATATGAAAGTCTATGAAGATAGTTAAAAGAATCCACTATTATTATCTGGCATTTTTTTTTATATACATAAATAAAATATGAAAAAATATAATTAATTTACATTAATAATTTAATAAAAACACTTCAAAAAAATTAAGAATAAAATAACGAATAGCGGATAACGCAATATGGCATCTCTGAGATGAACAAGAGTTCCATAGATCGTCAGCTGACATTAGAGATCTAAACGGTTAAACTCGGCAATATTATACGAGGTCTCGCAATTTGTTCATAAATTTTAATTGCAAATATTTAACTTTCAAAACATTCAAAATTAAAAATTATGGACACATGCGTATGTAAAAAACGAAGAATTTTACCCATTTTGCGATGATTTCGAAAACGTGCCCAACATATGCCTTTCGTCTTGTGTAAATAGTTTAAATAAAATTATTTGAAAATGAGTGATAAGTTCCAAATATAATAATAATATATATAATAATATATATAATATATATATATATATATATATATATATATATATATATATATATATATATATATATATATATATATATATATATATATATATATTATATATATTATTATATATTATTATTATATTTGGAACTTATCACTCATTTTCAAATAATTTTATTTAAACTATTTACACAAGACGAAAGGCATATGTTGGGCACGTTTTCGAAATCATCGCAAAATGGGTAAAATTCTTCGTTTTTTACATACGCATGTGTCCATAATTTTTAATTTTGAATGTTTTGAAAGTTAAATATTTGCAATTAAAATTTATGAACAAATTGCGAGACCTCGTATAATATTGCCGAGTTTAACCGTTTAGATCTCTAATGTCAGCTGACGATCTATGGAACTCTTGTTCATCTCAGAGATGCCATATTGCGTTATCCGCTATTCGTTATTTTATTCTTAATTTTTTTGAAGTGTTTTTATTAAATTATTAATGTAAATTAATTATATTTTTTCATATTTTATTTATGTATATAAAAAAAATGCCAGATAATAAAAGTGGATTCTTTTAACTATCTTCATAGACTTTCATATAATAATTGCATTTGTAAGGTATATTTTAAAGGACTACTAACAAATTTTGGTTTTTAAAATATTTTTGCTGAAATTTGAAACAGTTCTGTTGACTAATGTCGCTAATATCATCAAAATACCGAATAAAAGGAGGTACCATCGTATGGGTGTTGTAGAAAGATCTGCACAGATAATTTTCTGTCACAGACTGCAGTATCCATTACGAACTTCAAATACCAAATTTGAAACAATTCCGCTGAATAATGTCGCTAAAATCATCAAAATACCGAATATCGAGAGGTGGCGTTATATAAGGGCAATGCGAAGACGTGAACCTGCACGGACGATTTTCTGTCATAGGCTGTAGTATCCATTGCGAACTTCAAATATCAAATTTGAAACAATTCCGGCGAATACCGAATATCGGGAGATGCCGTTATATGGGGGCTATACGAAGACGTAGACCTACATGACCCATTTTCAAGTCCTGCAGACATTATATACATTTCAGTAAAATTTTATCAACCTACTTCATTTAGTTCGGAAGCTAGAGTGATTTCCACATACGAACGGACATTGCTAAATCGACATAGAATTTTATGCTGATCAAGAATATATATACTTTGTGGGGTCTAAAATGTATATTTCGAGGTGTTACAAACGGAATGACAAACTTAATATACCCTCCATACTATGGCGGAGGGTATACAAATAATAATAAAATAATAATTGCAAAATTAAAAGTTCTGATTTTTGTTTTTTTTTTATTTACTCCCAAAAAATATTTCTTAAAATCATGAATTATTAATGAATTAAAAATATTATTTTTTCATATATTACTTGAATTTTAATCACGAATTTAAAAAAGACTAAAATTAAATAACGATTTTTTCAGAAATTGTTTTTTTCAACGAGTCAAATAGAAAAAATGTGTCCAATGACTATCAAATTATTTCCGTGATTTTTTAAAACATTTTTTTTCAAAAATTGTTTTTTCAATGAGTCAATTAGAAAAAATGTGATCAATGATTATTAAATTATTTCCGTAATTTTTTAAATTTTTTTGCTTCATTTAAACCTTATTCGTAGATAAAAAAAAATATTTTCGTGAATTAAAAGAAAAACGTTCGTAAATGAAGAAAATTATTGTTTGGTAGATTTATTATTAATTATTATATATTTTTAAATTCTTAAAAAATAAATAAAAACATTAAGCTTTCCAAGGCATACTAAAATTCAATCCCTGGAAGTCGTGGAATAATTTCATAAATATTCTTCATAAACTACTTTTTTTCTCTAAATGACATGGCAACCCTGTTCTTTCATAAATTTCACAGCTTGGTGTTAAACGTCAAATTTTCACAACAATCTTTTGTTTACGTGAAAATTATTTATACAAAACTCAAAACTGATACTTTTCATTGGAAAAAACATATATTGGAGAATATAACAACAAATATAAAATAGACAATTTATTTATTTCCCAACGCCCAATATGGAATTGTGTATGAAAAAGAATCGTTTAAATGACTATGAGAAGAGACGTTTCGTTGATATTATTAGGAAATATCCAATAATTTGGAATAAAAAACATCCAAATAGATTTCGAAACGATTTAAAGTTGGCTTGGCAAAATGTTGCCAAAGAAATGAATGAAAATGGTAAGTAAGTGTTGGATGAACTTTTGGGGGAGTTCCTTTTTGGGATTGCAAATAAATTCCCAGTTAAGCCAAGATTGTCTGTTGTGAAGATGTTGCGTCTAAATCGTTGAAATGTGTGTATGTGTACAAACACACTTACAAGTGCTTGTTTGGCAAAGTAGTAAATACGTACACAGCCTTCTATAGGTTTTCGTGAACATAAGTCCTTAAAGAGAACATTTACATGTAAAAGGACATCTGTAGGCGTTTTGGGGAGGGAAGGACATCTTTCATATATAAGTAAAATATCTTCCTTATGTCTTCCATACACAATATACCCTATAAACCTTAAAGAAAGAGTTTTTACAAATATCTATAGATAGAAGAATTTCTGTAAGTGATATAGATTTATCCTGCAAGGAATTAAATGTGTTTGTTTTTTTTTGGGGAATGTAATGTAGAACGTTTAAATTTGAATGGGTAAAAGTTTTCAACCTGTTAAGGCCTAAAATAGGGATTTTGCTATAGTTATACCATGGTTTATTAGTTGAAATGTTCCTTATAGAAAACTGCATATAACGTTTGATACCTACAGGGTGAGATGAAAAAACTGCAACAAACTTCAGACTGCTGTAATTTCTAAGCCACTCGTCTGGCAGCTGTTAAAATTATTCCAGTGACAGCTCATCATATCGTTTACAAGCGTACAAAAGCATTTTGGTTAGCATTTTTCAGAAAAAAAAGTTATTCGTGATGGAATTCAAGCGTGGTAGTATAATTTCTTTATATTTGGTTGGAAAAAAAGTGTGAATAAGTCTTTTGTGTCTCGTACCATCGCTCGTTACCGTGATACTGGTAGCGTATCCCGACGTCAAGGAAGTGGACGGAAGATAACAGCAACATCATCAGAAATGGTTCGAAAAGTTAAGAAGCGACTTGATCGAAACCAGCGTCGAAGTGGCCGAAAAATGGCTCATGAGATGAACATATCTCAATATTCCATTCGGAAAATATTAAAAAATGAGTTCAGGGTAAAGCCATTGAAATTCCAAAAAGTGCAAGAACTTACACCGTAACAGAAAGAAAATAGACTCAAAAGAGCTAAAGAGTTGCTTCGCTTGGACGAAAGTTCGTAATGGATACTGCAGTCTGTGACAGAAAATTATCTGTGCAGATCTTTCTACAACACCCATACGATGGTACCTCCTTTTATTCGGTATTTTGATGATATTAGCGACATTAGTCAACAGAACTGTTTCAAATTTCAGCAAAAATATTTTAAAAACCAAAATTTGTTAGTAGTCCTTTAAAATATACCTTACAAATGCAATTATTATATGAAAGTCTATGAAGATAGTTAAAAGAATCCACTATTATTATCTGGCATTTTTTTTATATACATAAATAAAATATGAAAAAATATAATTAATTTACATTAATAATTTAATAAAAACACTTCAAAAAAATTAAGAATAAAATAACGAATAGCGGATAACGCAATATGGCATCTCTGAGATGAACAAGAGTTCCATAGATCGTCAGCTGACATTAGAGATCTAAACGGTTAAACTCGGCAATATTATACGAGGTCTCGCAATTTGTTCATAAATTTTAATTGCAAATATTTAACTTTCAAAACATTCAAAATTAAAAATTATGGACACATGCGTATGTAAAAAACGAAGAATTTTACCCTTTTTGCGATGATTTCGAAAACGTGCCCAACATATGCCTTTCGTCTTGTGTAAATAGTTTAAATAAAATTATTTGAAAATGAGTGATAAGTTCCAAATATAATAATAATATATATAATAATATATATATATATATATGTATATATATATATATATATATATATATATATATATATATATATATATATATATATGATATAATATATATAATAAATAATAATAATATATTTACTATTACGGATTTTGCAAATGAATATACCTCCCCAATTCTTTTCTGGTTTTGAAAAAGGAGATGCAAAATTTAGAATCAAAAAAAAAAAAAATATGTTTATACCCTACAGCACATAGTGGTAAGGGTATTTTGTCTTTGTGCATTTATTTGTAACATTGTGAAGGAAGCGAGATAGACCCATAGTTACTTTTGAGCATCTTTATAGAATCACTTTCTGAGTCGATTTATGCATGTCAGTCCATCCGTCCATCTCTCCATGTATTCTTGTCAACAAAATGAAGATCGCATTTATGATCCGATTGAGGTGAAAATTTCCAAACAATATTTGTTTGGCCCAAGGACGAAGCCTGTTTAAATTGGTGAGAATCGGATCAGATTTAGATATAGGTCCCATACATATCTTCAACTGATTTCGGATTAATTATGGACCAATATTAATCCAAATGACCTGAATATTGCAACATGCCACCGAATTCAGTCTAGAAGCAAGTACATCAAATTTGGAGAAAATCGGTTCAGAAATAGATATAGCTTCCATATATATGCTTCGTTTGACTTGAGGTTTTAAGTCCCTCACATGCGTAATATGCACTCCACAAGAATGATATTTGGCACCAAATGCCAAATTTTGTCAAGATCGGTTCAGATTTAGATATAGCTACCATATATATCTTCAACCGATTTCGGATTAATTGTGCACCAAATTACCAATATCAGTCCAAATGACCTGGACTTTGAATTCATTCTAGAAGAACATCAAATTATTCAAAAATATTACTCACAAAGGTTATTTTTTTTATTATTTATGTATATTTAGTGTTTATTGTTTTTACATAGAAGAAACATTTTTAATTTTTAATTGCTATAACTTAAAACTATTTCTATGGAGTGAAGATATATTAATATAACATCTACAAACCTGCTAAGGACATACTGAAATAATTTCTAAATTAAAAAAATCGATTTTTTTAAAATATACAAATATATGGACTGACTTAATTAAAGTACATAGAAACTGTGTGTGTGTTTTGTTTGAAAAATTAAATGAATGCATTACAAAACATTGAAGACTTCTTGTTATGGGACAGTTAACATGCTTCCTACAGAAAAATGACTTTGGATAAAATATATGAAAATGTGGTTTCTCGGGCACACCTTACCCTAAATTGACATAAAAATATAAATTACTACAATTAAGAAAATATAAAATATCGATTCGAAGTAAATAGCGGTCTCTGAAAGGAAATTGAATACTTTTTATACATCATGTTGATAGGTTTGTTCACTAAAGAATGAAATGACCGAGCTTACTCGCAAAGTATGCTTTTCCTTGGAACCATCTTTATAGATTCTCACTTACTAATTTGAATAGTAATCTGTTTAGAATCATTCTTGTTTTTTTCCCACAATATTGATGACAAGACCGCTGTCTCCGTGTTCTTGTTATTACCTAAACTTAGTATTTTATAAACTTAACAAGAAAAGTGTTATTCAAGAACAAAATTTGTTCCACATGCTTGTGGCTGCTTAATCCTCTATTCGTATATTAATTGATTCTGGTGTACTGTTGTTTAGATTATCTAATTTCTTTAAGATATCCTGTTGTAAGGATAAATATTTTGGGAAGAAATCTTCCATTAACTTCACCTTTCTTTCTTCCAATCTTAAACGCTTGCGATTAATTTCTCCCTGTTCAACTAGTATGATATTCTTTTTCTTGATTTCTTCCAAATATAAATGCTCTAGGGAATCTTGAGCCATAGCAGCCGCCGCCGATGCGGCTGTTGTAAGAGCAGTGGATGTAGCACCTCCCGCCGTTGCTGCTGCCGTCGAGGATGAAGCAGAGCGATTACGTTTACGTGGTGTTGTTGTGGAAGATACTGAAGACCTTCTGGGTGGTTCCATTGTGGTATGATTGCTATTTGTATGATTTGTAACGTTACCGTCTACCCCACTGTTAGCATTTGTGCTCACCAATGGTAAGTTTGTGTGATTTGGCAATGCTCCTCGGCTGTTGTTAACTGCAGCTAGACCCATATTGCCATTAATTACGGCTTCTAATTCTGGGGGCATAGCTTGGGGTGTGACTACTGTTACACTTTGTGATGTTTTCTGACCATCAGCAGATGAATTGGTGGTTTCTTGAGGGTCTATTGGTAAAAACTCGGAAAAACCTTCCATTTTTATATCGCCTTCAATTTCCTTTTTAATTTCCATTTGATCCAGTCCAAACAGCTCAGTGCTAAAGCTTGTATTTGAATTGTTGCTGAAGACATTTGAGGAGAGATTTTGTTCGGTCAATGAAACCTGAAAAGGAAAATATGAATTAAACAATTGTTTGCCGGAAATGAATGTCTGTTATACAAATATTTGGTCTTTCCAGGACTGCGAAAATCTAACAGATTTTACTATTATAACTGTTTTTCCCTTTTGATATCGAAAAACTTGCAAAAATAGTAGATTCTTGCAGATTCTGGAACAGAGCAAGTATCAATCTAGGTTATAACTTTTTTATATACATTTTCCTCCAAGTCCTTTACGTTTTTGCCACCATTTGTGTAATAAAGTAATAGTCTACTTACATCTTCAGTAATTTGTTGATTATCTCCAGGTGTCTGATTTAAATTAATACTCTGTTCCGAGTTGGAGATATTGCTGACATTTGGAGAGGGCGGTCGGGTATCACTGTTACTGTTTAACAACTCTGTGGGTGACATATCACGATTATTTTCCAAAGCCTCCTGGGGTACGGGTTCATCATCTTTGGAACGATATTGGTTCTTTAATATCTTCTCCACCAAATCATATTTCTTCCACTTTACAGCATTTCTATCGGTTTCCAGTAGACGCTTCACTTGCCTGCATGAAAAAACATTCAACTATATTTTCAAATCCATTTCAATTTCAAAACAAAATGCTACATACCTATATTTTGCCCTCGTTTGATTTACTTTGCACTGTACCTCCTCGGGCTTGACATCGATGTCGAATCTCTCTTTCATCTCCTCAGCCCATTGGGCAAAGAATATGGTGTTTTTGCCATGTTTGGTGAGACGCCAATTCTCTCTACCCCATATGAGAAAAAAGCGGTCTTCTTCTTTGGGTGTCCAATAGCGACGATTTTTTCCCTTGATTTCTGTCTCGGACTGGTGTTCGTTGTCATTGTTCAATGGATTTAGTGTTAGACCATCGTCTTTGGCTTCTTTGTCATTTTCCGATGAAGATGATGGAGGCGGTGGCGATGTTTGTTGAGCCTGCTGCGACAATTCTTCTTCCTTTTCCTCTTCTTGTGTGGTTTTTTCATTTGATGCTGGCGGCGCTGTGTCCTCCTTTGACATCTCTTTTTCTGCCTTAGCATTATCAGCATTTACCTCAGTTTCATCGGCCTTAACTTCAGTCATTTTATAATTTTTGTAAAATTTGCTATTTGTTGAACGTTTTTCCAAGATATTATTTAAAAGTTTGTGTATAGATAAATTTTTATTTTGCAATAAAAGCGCCGACTTTGTATGCAATCTAATCCAATCACGTAGACCTCTTCTTCTTCTTCTTTTCGTGCAAAAATACACATTGGGTTGATAACAGAGTTGCCAAGACGCTAAATTTCGGAGCGGCGTTTCTTTTTTCTTCGGCCAGTCATTTATTTAAATAAGACAAAATCCTCTATAATCAGATTTGTATTTTACAGCCATTTACATTGGTCAAGTATTTTTGGTATTGTCAAGTGTTTTCTTTCGGCTACAGTGAATATATAAGTTTTTAAAATATACGAACAAAAGAAAAAGAAGAACAATTCAATATTACTGAAAACCGATAGAACAGGATAAACAAACATATGAAAAAGCGGAGAATTCAGAAAAATAAGTGCTTCTTTACTGACAATATTATAATTGGTCTGTTTCAGATTTTTCTTTTATGATATCGAAGAAACTTGCAAAAATAGTAGATTCTTGCAGCTACTGGAACAGAGCAAATGTCGTGTCGAGACGCCACGCATTTTACTATTTTGATACATGAACTCTGCTGCCCTGTATTATGTAAATGCAGGTTTGGCTTCCCACTAATACAATAGGCTTGACAGCATTTGAACATTGAAATATATTTAAATTTTGGAATATGGATTGAAGACCAGCAAGATCGTTTGATTTCTCCAGACTTCTGGAGCTTTTAGAATCGTGGGTTTATGTTAACAAGCCTTAGACTCTTTCAGACAATATCCTTTAAGAATGTTAGAACCTATCGCCGGATGTTTTGGACAAAGTGATAGAAAAATGCCATTAAAAAGGCTCAAATGACAATAAACTGTGGCGGCGGCCATTTACATGACATCGTATAGGCAACATGATGTAAAAAAAAACTAAAAGACCGAATAAAAATAATCCTCAAGAAGAATCAACGTTTTTCATTTTTTTAAATACAGCCGGAAAACATCGGAAGATTACTTTTGCGTCACCTGTACATACATTAAATTCTCCTAAATGTAGCCTTTTTCAGTTCGATACATTCACATATACAAAAAAAAAACAACAAAAAATAAGTTTGATTAAAGTTAAAATTCCTTCATCTTGAAAATTTGAAAGTTCGCCCTTTTTTGGATAAAAATTTAGAAAGCCTGCATCAGATATTCGGTAGGCTCTTAATTTGGAATTGTAGATAAGAAGAAGAATAATAGGGTTCAATTTTTCCCAGTAACAGAGTTGCCAATACACAATATTGGCTGAAAATCGCTAACATTTTAATGAAGCGTCTTACGCTCCGAGCCAAGATTATGACGGCGTTAGCTGTAATTGTCGGCTTTGACGTTATTTGGCATCTTCCCGTTTGTTTACAGTACGTTTTGGAAACAATTTTCCCCGCAGAAAAATGGACGTGCAACCAAATGGAGAACCCAAAAAAATATACCTTAATAAACCGGTTGAAAATAAACCCGAAGAAAAGCCGGCCTCCTCTAGATCAAAGGAAAATAAAGGCCAACCCGATTGTGTCCTAATACCACCGCCAAGACGTCGTCCGCCGCCACCCGATAATACGGATGAAGAGGAGAACATTACCAATCATAAGAAACAACGTTATTGGAACTCGTTTGAGGAAATGCATATCATTGAACTGTGGCGTCGCTACAAAGATGAGGTGACCGAATTCAACAAAGCTCTTCCGGTGCATCGTAAAATTATGGTTGGTATGCGTCAAAAGGGTATGATAGTTACTGGGCAGGACTGTCGCAGGAAGCTTAATACACTGAATAATAGATACAAGTAAGTTGTCCGGATTGTGAAATGGGGGCGAATCATGTTTAATTTTGTTCCACTTCTTGCAGGGCTGAATTGGAGAGCCAAAAATTAACAGGAGCTAAGTCAGAATGGCGCTTATTTCCTCTGATACACTGCATCAAATCGCCGAAATTTAAACAATTCGATCCCTGGCATGAGACTTTGGTAAGATTTTGTTGGGATTGTAGGTGTTAAAATGGATATCGATATGGAACGCTCATGGAAGGTCTGTGAATAGAAGGTCAATATATCCATAGAAGATCATTATAGGAATCTATTATCCTTGTTCTCATCATTTAATGTATCTTCCATTGGTAGGATACCTTTTTGAGAATTACTTTTCTTTGAAGCCCTTTTGAATTTAGAAGAGGTCTTAGAGGGGTTCCATCAAGAGAAAATATCTAAAGGGATTTTATCCATAAAATGCCTTTAAAAACCATTCTGTCTTTGGGAGACTTGAAAAAGGCTTTTTATATAGAATATCAAATTGACGAAGTAGATTTAAAATCGGTATTTACCAAAAAAGAAAGAAAAGAACAGAAACCCACTACAGTTTCTCTTCCATGGAAGAATTAGCTCTTCCGTCCATAAAATACATCCAGACAGCGTTTCTATGTTCCACATAAAGACCTGTGAAAAGTGACTAAATATCATTGATGTCTCATAGACGTAGAATCTTAATTCAACTTCTCTTCTTACACTTTCAGGTTACTCGAAAACTACTGGAAAAAATACCTAAAGTTCCCGAACAGAAACAACCTGCACCAGCAGTACTACGCCAGACTTCAAATGCCACACACACGCCAACAAACCGACAAAATCCAATGACCCCCAACACAGCCCCCAGTCAGTTGGTAGCATCTATACCTCTTAAATCTCTAGCAAGTGGTGTCGGTTCTTTAATAGCCATGGACACTTACAACCCCCCAGCGCCATTACCACCTGCCCGATCGGCAAACCACAATCCGGCACATAGAAAAAATGTACTCAAATATTCGATACCAGCCATTCGCAGTATTACCAAAAAGAAATTGGAACAATTGAAATTGGAAAATGTCCTGCTGGCCCAGCAACGTGATGATGCTTTGAAAAGTTTACGTATGGCTGAGCGAAAGCAACGCATGTTTGAAGCGATTCTACACAGTTTATTTGTACAAGCCGAAAAGGGTATTCACGGGGAGAATTTGGAAAAACTACTGACTAAATGTTAAGGTCTTTGTTGCTCTCACAAGCATCTCGGATTATATTTTAGGTTTTTATTTGTTTAACTTTTGGTAAAGCAGGTGGTATGCTTTATGCCATGTTCCTTATGTATCTTTTTGAGAACTTTTTATTTTTTATTGGCCTAATTACATATGTATGTGCGTACATATATATTTTGGAAATCTGACCATAATATGTGGCATCAAATAAAATATTTTAATGACTAATTCTTACCTTTACTTTTATTTTACACAGCCTCGTTTTAAAATAGGACACCTTCCAAAGTTTGAAAACCATTTGGAAGCCTGTAATAAATAGAATAACTTTCAGAGATATTATGTGCACGTAAAGACTTGCTGAACCCTTTTTGGTCAATTCAGAAGCCTATGGAGGTCTCCCATACAAAATACCTTGTTACACCCTACACCGCATACTGGTAAGGGTATTATGTCTTTGTGCATTTGTTTGTAACATGGAGAAGGAGGCGAGATATACACATAATTACTTTTAAGGATCTTCATAGAATCACTTTTTGAAACGATTTATGCATGTCAGTACGTCTGTCGCTCTGTCCGTTCATATATTCTTGTGCAGATCGCATTTATTATCCGATTGAGATGAAATTTTACAGTCAATATTTGTTTGGCCCAAGGACGAACCCTATTGAAATTGGTGAGAACCGTATCAGATTTAGATATAGCTCCCATACATATATTCAACCGATTTCGCGTTAATTGTGCACCAAATGGCTAATCCAATGGTCTAAATGACCTATATTTTCGTAGATCCCACCGAATTGAGTTTAGAAGCAATTATTATATTTAGAAGCAAAATCGGTTCAGATATAGCTATAGCTCCCATATATATGTTTCATCCGATTTGGAGTTTTAGGCCCCTTAATATGCACTCCAGCAGAATTATATTTGCTACCAGATATCTTATAGAGCTCGGAAATACCTCTGCCAAATTTTATCAAAATCGGTTCAGATATGGATATAGGTCCGATGCATATCTTCTTCCGATTTCAGATTAATTGTGCACCAAATGGCCAATATCTGTCAAAAAGTCCTGAATTTTGGTACATCCGACCGAATTCAGTCTAGAAGCAAGTACATCGAATTCGTAGAAAATCGCCTCAGATATAGCTTTAGCTCCCGTATATATGTTTCATCCGATTTGGTATTTAAGTCCCTCAAATTCGTAATATGCACTCCAGCAGAATTATATTTGCTACCAGATATCTTATAGAGCTCGGAAATATCTCTACCAAATTTTATGAAGATCGGTTCAGATTTGAATATACCTCCCATATATATCTTCAACCCATTTCGGGTTAATTGTGTACCAAATGGCCAACACCTTTGCCAAATTTTTATCAAAATCGGTTCAGATATGGATATAGGTTCGATATATATCTTCAACCGATTTCGGGTTAATTGTGCACCAAATGGCCAATACCTGTCCAAAAGTCCTGAATTTTGGTACATCCGACCGAATTTAGTCTAGAAGCAAGTACATCGAATTCGGAGAAAATCGGTTCAGATATATCTATAGCTCCTATATATATTTTTTTTCATCCGATTTGGTGTTAAATTCCCTCAGATTCGTAATATGCACCCCACAATAATGATGTTTGGTATCAGATACAGCCCAGAAATACCTCTGGCAAACTGTATTAAGATCGGTTCTGATTTGGATATATCTCCCATATATATCTTCAACCGATTTCGGGTTAATTGTGCACCAAATGGCCAATATCAATCCAAATTACCTGAATTTTGGCACGACCTACCGAATTCAGTTTAGAAGTGCTTTTAATTTGAAAATCGGTTCAGATATAGCTATAGCTCCTATATATATATGTTCCATCAGACTTGGTGTTGAAGTCCCTCACATTCGTTATATTAATTCGACAGCAATGATATTTGATACTCGACATCTTTTAGAGGTCGAAAATTCCTCTGCTAAATTTTATCAAGATCGAATCAGATTTTTGTGGTGCAAATAATGGCTAATAGCAGCCCAAATGGAGAGAATTTCGGGACGTACGTTTCCATTTTGTGCAACTAGACTCCGATACGTACTTTTTTTTATATAATCCTTCTCCAAGTGATAACATCTTTAAAAAAAATTAAAATTTAATTTTTCATTTATATTTTAAACAATTAAATCCTTAATTGTTTGTTTTTATTCTTAATTATTTTTAAAAGTCTATTATATTTGCAATTGTAATAGTTCACTATAATCTAAGAGAGGACATATATAGATAAATCGAGAGAGAGAGAGTTAGGAGAAAGAGTAAATTTATATTTTCATGATTGACGGAATAGAACACAAAAAGTAAACAAAAAGTGAAACCATTATTACAGTATATAATTAACTTAAGATATTGTATACATTATATATATTATTAAAGCACTAAAACTTAGTTTTCGAAAGGTGGTATATTTGTTTTAAAAAATATATAATAGAATGTTTACACAAATGGATAGCTATTGGGAGAATCAAAAATTAAACATTTAAAATAAAGGTAATACAAGTAAGAGTGTTGTATATAATAAACAATTGACTTGTAATATGCAAGTATTATTAAATTTTTTAAACAATTATTGTTAATAAATTATATTAATTTAGTTTGCGTTGAGTTACTGCTTTCGTTTTTTTTATATATGTAAATATTTCAATTTAACTATTTTGTTATTGTTATTTTAGTCGTTATATAGTGGTTGCTTCTTTCCGCTGCTTCCAAAAACAAAGAAGTTATTGCAATATATTTATGATTTTCGTTAGGTTTTCTTTCATGCTTTCACATAAGAATGTTGTTGTTGATGTTGGTTTATAGTATAAATGCCTTAATTTATATATTTATATGATTTATGTGTAATGGCTTTGTTGTGGTTATTGATTTTTTTTCTTTCTTAGGAGGATCACCTGTATTAATGTGGGTTCAGTATTGATCTTATTTGCGGACGCCAAGTATAGTACCCCTTCACACACTCTCGCTCCCATCACCTTACTTGACGTCCTTTAGATTTTCGTTTTCCTGTCTTTCTACATACATGGATCGTTCGTGTTTCTATTCAATCTATTTATTTTCTATAGTCCTAAAAATGAGCATAATGTAAATGCGCCAAATAATACCAATACAATAAGTATTATAGCTAGCCAAGCTGGCATTGTACCTGTAAGGGAAAGCAGACAATAATTAGCAATACGAATTTTAAATATTTTTCAAAGTGGATACTTACGTCTATGCTGTAAACTATGTATGCAAACTTTATTGTCGACAGATATAGAGAGTACGGCCGCTTCCGTATCACTTGAGATGGGTGGCCCTTCTTCATTGGTCACAGGCAAGAATTGCAAGCCAGTCACAAACATTGAGTGAGCATTGGGTATGTGTAGGACACGCTAAAAAAAGAAGAATCATTGGTGAGATTTTTGAAAAATTTTAGAACACCATAAAAAAACAAAATGTTCTAAAAGGCGCCAATACATAGCCCTTCAAGGCTTTTCATAATAATCCCCTAAAAAAAGTAACTTAAAACGTCTGTCATACGCTGTGGTATCCATTACGAACTTCAAATTTGAAATAATTCCGGTGAATAATGTCGCTAAAATCATCAAAATACCGAATATCGGGAGGTACTGTTATATGGGGCTAAACAAAGACGTGGACCTGCACAGACAATTTTCTGTGTTAGGCTGTAGTATTCATTACGAACTTCAAATATCAAATTTGAAACATTTTCGGTAAATAATGTCGCTAAAATCATCAAAATGCCGAATATCGGGAGGTACTGTTATATGGGGCTATACAAAGACGTGGACCTGCACACACAATTTCCTGTCGTAGGCTGTAGTATGCATTACAAACTTCAAATACCAAAATTGAAACAATTCCGGTAAAAAATAGTCGCTAAAATCACCAACATATTCTTTTCTTTATGATTCCTTAAAAATGCTCTATACGACCTCCAAAAAGAAGTGCTTGATATAGAATCCCTTGCTTTTGTAAGAAGCTCACAAAATCCTTCTGTCAACACCTTCAAAAAAATTTAACTTTACCACCAAAGAAATCATTTTACCTTACCTGTAAACTAAAAGCAATGTACATCGAAATACTGCCCGAAAACATTGTGCCGACTGCCACAAATCGACCATCATCACGCACCGCCAACGAGGCTAAGCTTTCATCGATGCCAACAGCCAAACGTAACTTGCCATTGGTACAGTCCCATTGTTGCAAGAAACCACGTTGTTTGCCAACTTTTCCCAAAGGATTGGTTATGGTAAAGAGGCGATATTTATCACGCTGGGCCTCAATTGTGCCATAACGACAGCGTTTAAACAAATATTTTGCACCTTCTGGTGTTGCCCATTTCAAGTCGAAAACTTTTTTCGACGTTGCAATATCCCACATCAGACCCTGGCCATCTTTGGATATTGTTATGATGTATTTGGAATCGGGACTAATGTCAATGTCATCGATTTCTTTAGAGTGAGCTCTGTAAAAGAAAAATTGAAACAAATATTGAGAAACATGTTTTTATACTCTGATAAAATTTCTTACACAATATCGGCTGTTTTCAGCATTTGTGGAAATGACCATACCCTTAAATGGCCATCCGTACCACCGGTAGCCATAATGTGTCCATTGGGAGATATACGCACCACCCTTTGCAGTGGATCATTGCCCAAAAAGTCTGTTTGTACTGAATCTGCTGCTTTAATATCAAATTTCAATATCCTCTTGATATTGGCATTTTGATCTTGTTTAGGCGGGGACTTTTCCCCTGCCGGTACATGACCATTAGCCACATCTTCAACGCCCGATGTGGCTGGCCTTCTCTGCCGTATGCCATTTTCATTAATATGCGAATCTGGATTATTTTTTGTTGATTCTTGTGTGACTGAGATTTCTTCTTTGCCATCTTCGCTTACAACACGGGGATTAACAAAATACATTTGACAATGGGCCTCTTGGCCGGCACATAAATACGAACGACGTCCATCATTACGTACGGCAAAATTCATGACAACATTTGAGCCAGTCTCGTGACGTATTACCTCTTGGGCGCAAAAGTGTTGCCCATTGTGATAAATTTCATAGATTTCCTGGAGGAAAGAAGGAATAGCGGTAATTTTAGAAGAGGTTTTTGGGTTGTTTAACTTATTTTTTACTTACAAATCCATTGGCCACACCAGTTTTACTGGCCCCACCACCACCAGCCACCAAAACATGACGGCTGGTCAGCATATCAACGGCATAGAGAGGAAAATTTACTCGGGCCAATAGCCCATCGCTGGGTCTTCTTGTCGGGGCCATTTGCTCTTATCTGTGTATATTCACGTTTATTGTTGTTGTTGCGGTTATATAGTTGTTAACCTTAACCCCCTTTCGATTTGTTTGAAACAAAAATTTTGTAAATTAATTATGGGTTTGACTTTGGTCTATTTTTTTAGTTTATCAGCAGCTGCTCTTCTTTCCACCACAAAATACTAGTCATGTACGGCGTTTGAGATTGTTTCGAGTTTGCTTTCTTTTGTCGGCCAGCCTGTTTGTTCTTGCTTTGTTTGTTTTTCTTTCCTAATTGCTTTGAGCTTCACTAAATTTATTTATTTCTATTGTTGTTTATTAATTTATTAGGAATTTATTCTAATTTTATATTTATTTATATTTCATGTTTATTAAACAATTTATTAAGTTCCACGTATGATACGTCTAATATTTGTGTTAGGGATACGTAAACGTAAATCAGACTTTGGCTGAAAATCGAAAAATGAAAATCAACTGATTTGTGAGAAAATCGACTAATCGATTATTTGTTATCGTTATTGAGGCGATTGGCCCAGCTGTATCATTTGTTTGCATATTGGGGTTGCCAAAGCAATACAAATCAATTGATGAGTTCCCGTTATATTAAAAGGGCGCATTATAGAGAGGCAAAGAGAATGTCTTGGCTTCTTCGTAAAAGAACAAAACAGTTTTAGGTTCACTTAGTTCAATTTCGCCCTTCATTTACAGTTATTCGGCTTATGTTCCATTGGTCTTTTAGGAAAAAACCAAGCTGGTGACTTAAGAAGGACAATACTAAAATTATAGTGGGAATCGTCGTCAGTATTCAATTGCGGATCTGATATTCCTTCATGATATGTCACCTTGAAGCCAAGCTGTTTATATATTATCACCTTTATAGTATGTTTACATTAGAACTTTTTGCCAGATTAACCTCATCTATGAGGATTTATGCAATTGGCGACATATAAATGCAAGACATTACATTCTTATTAGAAATTCTTCTTCTTCAGGTATTCTTATCAAAAATCTTTCGTATCATTGCTTTCCTAGCAGGTTGTAAGTAAACATTTAAATAATTCACTTCATTTTTTTTCAAATGCATTTCAAAGCTTCTTAAGGCAATGCCTCAAAGGTGAAGAAAAAAGATAACCTTAATTTATGGCTGCATAAATGTCGACTCGAAGACTTTTGGACACGTTCAGCAAAAAGTGATGACTTCTTTTTTCTTCAATGCCGACTAAAGGAAAATACGGAAAACGTCCATGGCGACACCTTGAACTTGCTGCAGCAAGCATAACAGGAGCAAGCTATGTCTACCAGTTTTTTCTACCAAAAAATTCAATGCTACGACATGCGGTGGCATGCGTGCGTTAGCCGTGGATATTATGGCAAACTTAAGCCACATTTTATGACCTTATGTGCTGGGGATCTTAACTCAATTGCGTTTCCATGCTTCAGCTTCTTTATGGGGGGTGAGTTGATTTAAAAGACTATAGATGGATTTCCTTTTGTCGTTTTTGATAACAAGATTTTGATGTGTTTCGTTCAATTATGCATGAGAGAGAGAGGGAGAGAGAGAAAAAAGGGAAGGAAACCCAAATGATGTCGTCATCATTGGTAAAAGTCATAAAACTCCAGGCTGAGCCAGGATATCGTCACAATTGAGGTCCATATAACGGTAAAGGAAAAGCCCGACTGTAATAAAAATGAATGTCGCATGTCTGTTATGCAGTTTTGTGGGTGTAAAGTTGTTTTTTTTTATGGGTGGTAGTTGTATGTGAATGTGTGTGTGGTGGGATGGGGGATGTGTTGTTGTTTTCCTCACTCCCACTCGTTTGATGTATTGATGTGGCGATTTTTTTCTACAAAACCCACCAACATATGTCTACCAACACTTCAATACAACTTCGACATTGAAAAAACATGTTTTCCAGGAAATAACAGAATTATATTCTTAAGAAAACGTCTATGAATACGAAGGGGGGACTGATAATGATAAGGCAAAGAAGAGAACACATAAAATGAAGGGTGAACAAGTATAAATAATGGGCCAAAATCGAACTAAGTCAACCTAAAACTATTGTATTTTTTACGATGAAGTCAGCCGATGGCTTAAAGGTTAGAATTTATTAACGCGTTTTTGGATGGCTTCTTCGTAAATGAGGAGTTTTAAGGTGAGAATACATAAAACGCTTTTTTGATGACTTGAGTTTTAAGGTGAGAATACATAAAACGCTTTTTTGATTGACTTAAGTCATCAATCACCAAGAATATTTAGGATGTGTTTTTTGAAGAGCCTTTGGAAAATTGGTCAACCCACGTAAATATATTTACATTTAGCTCTCGAATAATATAGCCAGCAACACATTCCAGAACATCCTCTTCGAAGTCATCAATGCAGGTTAGGTACTCATATTAAAAATCGGTCAATTATTCTAAATCTGATTAGTTATTGTCTTTTTCGCTAAATATATCGTCATATACTTCACTCATTGGTATAATTTGACGGGGGGATGCGGTTATACCTCAACATACTTTGCTCGGACTTATCCACTGTATTTCGTCAACTTTGCCGGTGTTATTCATCAATTCAATATTCCTGGCATTCAAATGGCCAATGAAGCCGTCACAGGCCGCCCGAATGTAGCTCTGCGGAATTTTTGGCTCATTCCTGTCGAAGCGCTTGTGATCGACACTTTGGTATTTTTTAGTGCCAACCTTGCTTTCCAAAATACTCCAGACACAATAGTCCAACGGATTGGTATCCGGAGATTTTGGTGGCCATTGTGAGCTGGAAATGGAGCAAGGAACCTCATTTTGTAACCATTCTTGGGTGGCGCGTGCTGAGTCCTGTTGGAATGTCCAAGGTCTCCGGCCAAAATGTTTGCGTGCCCAAGGCTTCAACACACCCTTCAGAATATTTTCGCGGCAATATTCGTCACTTATTCTAATACCATGGTTGATTAATACGAGCGAAGAGCGATTGTTCGCTGTTGTGGCGGCCCACATCATCACCATGGCCGGCGCTTGAGTTCTGGTGGCCAACTGAAGATGCATATTTCCAGCTGACCCTTTTGGCAAGTAAACATGATCATTTTGTTTGTTTACAAACTACTGGACAACGAATGTTTTCTAATCGGAGACGGAGAAAACCAAATTTGGCAGTTCACCACTTTCGGCCAAGCGAAGCAACCCTTTAGCTCTTTTGAGTCTATTTTCTTTCTGTTGCGGTGTAAGTTCTTGCCCTTTTTGGAATTTCAATGGCTTTCCCCCAAGCTAATTTTTTTAATATTTGCCGAATGGAATATTGCGATGTGTTCAGCTCACGAGGCATTTTTGGCCACTGCGACGAGGGTTTCGATGAAGTCGCTTCTTTCGAGCCATTTCTGCTGATGTTTCTGTTTTATTTCACTTCCTTGACGTCGGGCTACGCTACAACGAGTAACGAGTGATGGTAGGAGAAACAAAAGATTTATTCACATTTAAATGCTGGTGTGCTCTAAAGATAGCCACTTGTGGTTTTCCAGCCAAATATAAAGAAATCACACTATCACGCTTGAATTCCATCACGAATAACTTTTTTCTGGAAAATACTCACCAAAATGCTTTTGTACGCTTGTAAACAATATAATGAGCTGTCACTGGAATAATTTTAACAGCTGTCGGACGAGTGGCTTGGAAATGACAGCAGTCTGAAGTTTTTTCATCTGACCCTGTGTGCCTAAAATGTACTACACTAGCCAGTAGACGAGCTGTTTTGGTGTTGGATGGTAGTTCAAACCGTCTTTGGCATGAATGGTAAATTTGAAATGTTGCTAAATAAAAATAAAAAGTTTGTACTATGTCTTGCTCTAGACGTATTGTAAAGGAATCATAACAGGCTCCAGGGTGTGTAGCATCAACAAATGTTATATTCATTTATATTTTTATTAGACACACAAATTATATTAAAATAAGACCTACAAGTGTGGTATTAAGGCTAAGGCTGGAAATACATAAAGAGCATTTTTGGCTGGCTTAAGTCATCGGCTGGCTTCTTCGTAGATGAACAAAGGAGGTTTAGGTTGACATAATTCGATTTTGGCCCTAGGCTCCTTTGTTATTTTCCGAAGAAGCAAGCCGATGACTTAAGCCTGTCAGAAAAGCCCTTTATGTGTTTGCACCTTAAAGGCTTCTTTCCGGTTGAAGTTTATTTTGCATTGGAATACATACCCTAACGCCTGGTATTCCAAATTAGTGGTAAAAATCTTAAGTTGTCCCTCGACTCTCTTCTTCAATCGGAAACGTTATCCACTTACGGCACAGTGTCCGCTCCAGAACATTTAAAACTTGAGCCAATACTTTGCTAAGCGTTGATTGAGCCATGCCAACTTCATAATCTCTGGTTACACCTTTCTGGTACCCACTCTCTGCAAAAAACGCAGACAGGCACATAATTTCCAAATTGGTGGAATTCCGGACGATATTTTTGTTGGCGGCATATTTCCATTGAGATCATCCAGAATATACCGAAAAGCATCCTTATTTTATCTATAATCCAGGATGAATCTATAACAAACGTTTTTGATAACCAAACATTTTTTAATACATTTAAATTACTTACAACGTAGGAGGTAACTCCAAGGGGTTAGGTACATCTCGAACACGTCTGCTGAACATTAGATGCTACACAGATTCTTCCTCCTGAATCAATAATGGTGCTCCGATTCTTAGCATTTTCTTTTTTGAATTCAATTATTACAATTTTAATATTTTGTTGTCATTCACTATTCACTGATAGCCTTAAAGACTTTTAACAGCTGTTTAAATAAGGAAACAAACATTTCGCGGGAATTTTACGATTGCAAAACTTCTTTTGAGGGGACTTCAGATTCCAGGGGAACAAAACTTCCCCAAGATTTACCCGATGGGGGTGAATAAAAATTATTTGAATTATCAGTTCCAGAACCTACTTTTTTTTGCAATTTTTTCGTTATCATAAAGGGAAAATCCGTTATCGCAGTTAAAAGTTTTACATTCTTGCAGCCCCTGGAACAAACTAAAATTTTGTTGTAATTATCTCCTCAAATTTGAAATTAGATTTAATATTTTTAATTGTCATCATTCACTCATTTTTCACTTTCTCCACTATTAAACAAATGTTGTTTTATAAAAACAACAATAATGGGATTAAGCCTGACGATTTTTGCAACAACAAAATACTACGGTATCCCAAACAAACATGCCAACACTGTCACCTTGATATTGACACTCGTATTACAATATTGTGTAATCAGCAGGCACTTGCTCTTGTCTGTATTATTCTACCATGGACGGATCTCAAAATGAAAATGGTTGCCATTACCGGTTTAACAAATGAGATTACCTTTTGAATTTGGCCATGGGTGAAGCCATCGATGCCAACTTAGTGCTTTTCGCGCGATTTATGGTGCTTTTTAGACCCCCCC